TAAATTATTTGTAAAAGCCAATTTTACAAAACTGTTTTTTGCACATATCTGAAAATTAAAAGATGTTGTAGAAAAATAGTTAATCTAAAATTGAATTGAATAAAAAGATTTTAAATGAAAAAAGTTTTAAACAATATTTAGAATCTACTAACAAGAGCATAAATTTACAAATGTCAAGTTCTCTTTTAACTCCACTTTCTGGGTATGTAACTAATTTTATTTTATTTTTTGAGTAAAATTAATCTGCCAATGTTTTACATTGTTTTATTTTTAAATATATTTGTCAATAAGCACTTTAATAACATAAAAACTCAGAATTATATTGGTTTAATAGTTTGTTTCACATTTGCAAAATACACACCTTTTCAAGCTTGACAGCAATGTTTTGAACAAATAAGACACGATTTTATTATTATCATTTACCAGTTTTTGATAAACATTTTGGACAAAAATATATTTGACATATATTTTAAAAGAAGTACCAGATAATTTATGAGTTAACTTTGAGTTGTTTAATAATATTTTATAATTATTAAAAAATATTGTTAAAAAATTACATACTAAAAAATACTACTGTACCGTCAATTAGACGTCAAAAAAAAAAATTGTTTTGAGGTTTGTAGTATTAAAACAGTTCTGAATACTTTGACACCTTAAAAAAGATTAAAATATTTTATAAATTTTATATTTGTAATTTTATTATATGCAGGGGCGGATCTAGCATTTTAAATGGGTGATGCAAAATTTTTTTATTGACGTCCCCCCCCCCCCCCCCGCAACTTCTCTAGGGTTTAAGTATAGTCAATACAAAAAGTGGAGAAACATTAAAAGGCGTAGCGAGGGTGGGGCGGACACGCCCCAGGCAGCTTTTTTTACGAGTGGCGTCGCTGTTTATATCATTGAATAGTAACTAAATATTGTATTTCTTTTGCAGTATCCATTTTTAGCAGAAATTTTTACAAATGTTGCCTTGGCTATTTTGTTCATAAATTAGACATGTAATTTTAAGCCTAATTTACTTAACAAAGTGCACCAACGAGAAGGTAAGCCATAGGACTTTGCACTTCATCTGTATACTGTCATTTTGCCCAAGGTTAGCCCTCCATTTCTGGATTCTTTCCATTTCTTGAGAGGCACGTCATGTAAAGTAATATTAGGTTATTTATTAAGGTTAAGTAATATTAGGTTAAGTAACTAGAAATATAATAATAAAGGTTAGTCCTCCATTTCTGGATTTTATCTTTATTTTATTTTATATTATTAATCTTATATTATATTATTAATCTTGCCTAAGGTTAGCCCTCCATATCTGGATTCTTTTTTTTTTTAATTTTAAAATGTTTTTTGTTATAATAATTTTTGTTATATTTTTTTATTGAAGTTCTATATTTTAAATACACACACGCACACACACACACACACACACACACACACACACACGCACGCACGCACGCACGCACACACACACACAATATTAGTAAAAATCAAATTAGAAAAAAGTAAAATAAAAGTTAGTACACTACTAAATAAAAGCTAAATTTAAACGTCTTACACCTGACTTTGAAAAAATGTCAATGACTCTTTCAACATCTGGAAAAATTTCTTGATTTATGGACATTAATGCTAAAGAGTTAATGCGAGACTCAATTATATTTCTTCTGGAGTATGTTTTTAGCCTACGTATAACTGAAATACTTCTTTCACATTCACAAGTTGTTATTGGAATTGTTCCTAAAATTATAAATGCTGTCCTTATATTTGGAAAACCTCTCATGTCAATGGACTTTAAAGTACCAGCAACAGTTGAAGGAATACTTGACTGGTTTTTCCAAAATAATTCCCATAAATCTAACTCAGCATGTATTGAAGTAAAATGAGGCATATCAGATAAATAGAAATTTAAAAATTTATAAAAAATCAGATTTCCATGGTTTTTTAACTTGTATTCTGGATAGTACAGTTGAAGGAACTGCTGCTAGACCTTTATAAACAAACATGTCATTTTCTGGAAACCTATTATCTAGCTCATTAATAAGATTTTCAACTAATGGAGAAGTAATGCTATGTTTAAAATAGTCACAAACTGTATTTGTTGGATAATTATCCCGGTAAACCTGGACATTACACAATCTAGGTCTCACTTCTTGTATATCAAGAGTTTTGGCTAAACTAAGAGCGATAGCGTACCATTCAGTGTGATATATATCAATTTTATTTTTAATTTCTAATAACAGATTTTTTAGATTAGTTATTTCAAAACACTGCTGGGATATATCAAAAGATTTAGTTCGAAGAGTTACAGTAATTGCATTAAAAAAATCCATTAATTGTTTTGTAATAACTAAACTTACAATAAAAGAGAAATCTGTTAATAATCTTAAAAAAGTAGAGGATTTGGAAGCAGTTTCACTGTTATATTCCTTTGACTTATTTAATCCCATCTCCTCTAAAGCATGAATAATAAGTATAAAATTATCAAACAAAACATCAACACCTCTCAGTTGTTGAACCCATCTTGTTCAACAAGTATCTATTATTTTTTCTTGATTTGGACTTAAATATTTTTTGAGACAGTTACTACGTTTAGGAGATAAGTTAAAAAAATAAGAAATTTCTTTTACTTGGCCAAGAAGATTTTTTACTTTTTGAACTTGGCATGCAGCTGCTACTACTAAACTAAATCTATGGCTTGCACAATGAACAAATATAGCTTTATGATTAAGAGCTTTTATTCGAGAAGCAACTCCTTTATACTCACCTGCCATACAACCCGCACCGTCTTGCAATTGTAGAGGTCAACCCTTGACCTCTACAATTTTGAATATCAAGTCCGAACTCTTGAAGTGCATTAGGTACATTTAGAGATAGACTAAGACCAGATGTACCAGTCTTGCAATCAATAAATCTTAAGAAATCCTCGCAAATCTCATTATTTGAATTTACATATCTTAAAACAAGTGACATTTGTTCAGTATTTGAACGTGTCACATGATAGAGCCGAATTAATTTATCCTCGAAAATATCACCGAAATATTTCACAACAGAAAATTTTAGAACCGAAAAGTATAATTTCATTGCAGGATCGAATTACAAAATCCTTTCTTGCGCCGAAAGTTTTTAAACCGAATTTTACAACCGAAAAAATTTGGATCGAATTACAAAATCCTTTCTTTTTTTAATCTATTTTTTTTTTTATTATTAAAATTTTACTATTAAAATATATATATATACATACATACATACATACATACATATATATATATATATATATATATATATATATATATATATATATATATATATATATATATATATATATATATATATATATGTATAAACATTGTATATATATATATATATATATATATATATATATATATATATATATATATATATATATATATATATATATATATATATATATATATATATATATATACAATGTTTGATAACAGTGTAACTTTCGGTTGTAAACCATTTTAATGAAATTCGGTTCTAAAATCATTAATGACTTTTGATTGAAAATTCTATCGAAATTTTTTTGGTTCTAAAATCATTTATGACTTTCGATTGAAAATTTGATTGAAATTTTTTCGGTTCTAATTTTTTTTGTAAATATTTTCGGTTGTGTAATAAATTTCTCATATTCGGTTCTAAATTGAAATTAGGGATTTGGTTGAATCATAGGACACCGTATTTGAACAGTCAACTGCTTTATCACAAAGAATTGAAAAAAAAAATTGAATGCTTGACATTTTTTATTAAAACTTCCTCAATTGCTTTCCCACAAGAATCAATAAGTTGGTTTTGGATAGTTTTTGATATATAGGTTGCATTTTTTGGACTTGAAGAAAGATGATTAGATAATATTTGATCCCCAGCATCAACACGAAAATTTAAAAGCTCTATGAAGTTACCAACTCCTACTTTTTGTGTAGAAGATTCCCCAATATCAGGATGATATTTGCTATCATCACGATATCCACGAAATGCTAGATCGTTTCTACCAAGAAATATTATTGTTTTAATTATTGGAACTAATTTTTTTCGATTATCAGAAAGAAGTTTCAAACGAGAATTATTTAAATCAACCTCAATAACATTACTTTTGGAATTGCAACGTGAAAGCAATGCATTAAATGAAAGCATAGATTTTTTTTATGTAAAACACAATTTTCCACATGTTTTCTATAATCACGAACAGCATTACCCCACTCTTGATGGGGCTTGAAAACTAAATTTAATATTCCAGACTTATTTGGAATACAAGCACCTAGCAAGACAGTAAGCTCCATCATCTTTGCTAGAATAAGCTAACCAAGAAAACTGGCTGAGCCATTCAAATTTAAATGATCTTTTTGTATTTAAAGATATTGGAAAAACAAACATAGAATTAGGACAAAATACTTTGTTTATCATATCTAACAAAATAGAATCATCTTTGCCAGCGATTAAAAGTTTACCTCAAACAAGTTATGTTAAAACGTCATACAAAGAATTTAATTCATTATATGAAGGAATAATGACTTAACTATTTTTGAATCTACAAAAGGTTCAAAAGGCAACTCTATGAAAGCATTGTCTTTTTTAAAGTTAATTTTAGATTGAATTTTGACATGTTTTGCAGAATCAAGTTGTTTTTTTTATTTGTTTCAGTTTTAGGACTAAAAAAGTGTAAAGATTAAGTAGCATCGTTTTTTATAGCCAAAATCTAATTAATGCTAGAAATTAGTTTAGGCTTATAATAATTGGTACAAAATGGTTCGGTGTCCAGTTATTATTATTTTGCATCACTGACATAATATCAGTATTACACCATAAAATATTCAAAACATTTTGATCTTGATTTTTAATTGAACGAAATGGAAAAATAATTGCATTAAAAAGTTTTTTGAATTTTTCTAAGCCAAAATCAGGATAAATTGATCTAATAGGAATATTTAAAACTGATGACAAAACAATTAGACATAAAAACGAAGAAAACTTGTTAGCTTGGCAGTTGATCAATGCTTCCATTATTATAATTTCAGAAGCTGATTCACTGTTAATTAATTTAAATTGATCTGAACATTCAAAAGAAACACAGGCTACTAGAACACTGGAAAGATTAGAATTATTGTTTTCAACCTGTTTAACAAAAAGGGAGTACCTCGCATAGTAGGAAGCTTTTTCAAACAATTCAATCGAAGTTAGAAGCCTCAATACATTAACTGTCTTCAGAGACGAATTGCTTAAAAGAGAAGCTGAACAGTAGAGGCAATTTCCATCTTCAGATGACCTTAAATAAAATAAAAAGTATACTAAAACAAGCTCAGTTTATATTAAATACTAGCTGGAAATATAAAATACCATTAACTTTAATAATAGGGTTTTACCTTAAAGCAACATAATCTTTAGTATCTTCTTGCTTTGGGATAAAACGATCCATTTCAGTATTTTCAGAAGACTGACTATGTGGCTGAACTGGACTCTTATTAATAATAAGAGTCCAGTTCAGTTCAGTTCAAATAATAATATTATTTAAAACTTTCAATTCTTCAGTCAACTGGTTTTTATATTTGCGAATATTTGGCAAATGTCTAGCCTTAATTGCATTTGAGACTAAACAATTCATTTTTTTTTTAAACTTTAATTTACAAACTAAGTCCAATGACGAAAATTACAAGCGAAGAACGTTTATCAGGTGGCGTATCAGAATTTTGTCAAATTTGAACGATTTGGAGCAACTGATGCAATTGTTCTAAACTTTCTACATATTTGAATTTATAAATAACATTTCTTATCTTTTTTGTAAAGTTTTTTGCGGAAGTTTTGTAGCAACTAATGCAATTGTTATTTTATTAAATAGTGATTAGTTTAAACTGTTTTTTAACCAATCATTAATGATTTAGAGTACAATTGCATCAGTTGCTACGAAGTGATCGGAAAAATTTGTGAAAAAGTACAAATATGATTGGTTAAAACGTACTTTTTATTTTTTTAACTAATCACATTTGTATTTAATGAAGAACAATTGCATCAGTTGCTCCAAAACGCAGGAATTTTGTATAAGTAACGAATAAGTAACTATAGAGATAAAATTAAATGAATTTTTTTCGAGTTTCAAACAAGTATTTTATTTTTTGAGAATATCAGATTCCAATTTCTACTTTTACTTTTTATTAAGAAAAAAAAGTGAAAAAGAGATAAACTTAAATTTAGCATTGAAAAAAGACTGATGCATGCGCATCATTCGCGACACCTTGGATCCGCCCCTGTAATATGTATTTTTATTACTATTAATTATGATAATTAATATATAATTATGCTAGAAGTCATAAGAAGTTAATCATCTGTTTATTGTTTCAAAGTATATCAATTATTAAAAAATATCAAAAATTAAAATATGAATTAATAAAATGAAATAAATACTACATGCTACTATACATTTTTGATATTTAAGTTTACTTTTCTAAAGTTAAGAGGAACTTGTGAACTCCTCTATAAATATACTCTTTCAATATGTTTCTATTCATATCAATCAATATAATTTTGCTTGTTAATTAAAAATTTTTTTCCACTGTGTGTAGAATGATGAGGAACACACTTTATTTACTGACATCTATAGTGCATATAACTAAGTAATATGACCTGTAACATTAAGGTAGGTGTTTACATTAATGTTAACATTAAGCTGGTATATTTATAATCTTCTAAAAATTTTCTTTATCTCCATCATCAATCCAAATACCCCCATCAATCAGAAAGATTATTATTTACTTTCAAGTTCAATATAGTTTCATTTCCAATCTGCTTTATTGGTTATTGTTTTTTTTAAACTTTAACAGAAAGACTTAATTTCAAAGTTTCAAAATTAAAAAATATAAAACTTTACTATAAAAATTCCATAAAAATCTCTCAATAAAAAAATTATAAAAAACTAATTTCAAAAGAATTTAAGATTTAAATTTAATTTTTTTAGTTGAGCAAAAAATTTTTATCAGCATAAAAAACTTTTGAAGCACATACCAATATTGGTATTTTTGGTGATTTGAAAACTGACACAAATATACTCTCAAAAATACCTTTAAATCATTAGATTTATATAGATTTAAAATTTCATTATATTTTGATGCTTGATATGACCATATAACGTTTAGAATTACTAAATTTTTTGAACTCTTACAGTATTGAAAAATGTCAAAAAATTAAAAAAAAACGTGGTTTTTAATTCATTTGCACCAGTTTTTATTTAATGTTAAACTACCGGAAAAAATAGTTTTAAAAATATTTTAAAAATATTGCTTCAAAAATTGAGCTATGATTTAGATAGTAAAAACAGTTATATATGATGAAGTTATTTTTGTCTACTATTGAACTATATATTGCTCACAAGTATTGGCATTTCAAGTTATATTTGATACATATAATTGATCTGCTATTGATTTAAGAATACTCCTTGATCTGCTATTGATTTGAGAATATTCCTTGATCTGCTTTTGAATTTATTTTATTCATATAAGACTACTTTTAATTTTTTGTGTTTTCCATGATTACATTATCTCTTACAAGAACTTTAAACATACCTTGTATGTTATTTAAATTATCAGAATAAAATACTTTCTATGTTATTTTGTATGACTAATGCCATTATTTTTTGATTAGGGAATTGATCAATGCAACTTTAAACAATAATGACATTGAAGATTGGCATAAAAAAGTTACAGAAAATCAACGAAATGAACTTTCAGATAAACTGTATTATTATTATTTTCCTTTTTTTATAATTTTTTTTGTAATTTGTTTTGATATACTGCTTTTAAGCTTGTTTTTCCTTGAGTTTTCTTTTTAATTCCTAAATACTGCTGTAAGTTTTTTTTTCATATAAAATTTTTTTTTATCTAGAATATGTTGCTAGTTAGAAAAAATGGCAACACGCATTTACATTAACATTGCTTGAGATTCTTTTAAAAGTGATCTTTTGCCACTAATCTAACTATGGATTATATTTATTTAATTTATATGTGGCTTTGTGAAGTTATTTAGAACTGTCCTTTTTTTATAAATGTAATTTGTTTTTATTTTATAATATCTGTTAGAGAATCATCAATTGAAATCACATTAAAAACTGATTTTCTAAATAATAAAGACAATTACATTGAAAATCTTAAAGTCTATGTAAATAAAGCGGAAGTTGCAGCATATATTAATGCAAGAAGCAAGGTATTTTTTAGTGATATTTGTTGTAATGTTCATAAATGTTATTAAATGAAATGTTTAATAAAATAGTTTTTTCTTGTTGCACAAAATTATAAAAACTATATTGTTTCTAATTATCTTAATTATTTAATTATCTACCAAATTATTACCTATGCAACAATTTTAAGATGACTGTTAATACAAAATGTATGTTTTCATATTGTCTACTAATTACGGTTAGTTTATGAATTTATTTCAGGTTGAATATATTCAGCTTTTAGAAGGAAAAATTTTGGAAATACAGATAAAACTCAAAGACCACATGCAAAAAAACTATGAAGTACAAATAGACCCTATAGAAATATGTATAGAAAAAATGCTTGAAACAGATGAGTTAGATGAGGTAGATAATGAAAGTGCACATAAAATCGAGGAAGAGCTTACAAAAATACACATTCAAAATATGTGTGTAAAAGAAATACCTATTGAAAAAACATTCAAAACTCAAAAAATGGATAAAGAATTTGAGGAAATAATGCTTGAACCACAAGAAACCTATAAAAGTATGGACATTCAGATAACGCATGAAATACAGAAAGATTTTAAAGAATCATATATGGAAAATAATGAAAAAACAATTTCAAAAATCTGCAATCACCAGCAAGGTTTTACTTTGCTATTTTCAAAGTAATTTATTATTTTTTCTTGAAAAGTGTTAGCATAAATTTAAAAGCTGGTTCTAAAGATGAGCCAGTTTTTTACTTACTCCACATCAAAATAAAAGTCTTAAAACCAGGTTTGATTTTGTACTACTACTACTTCTACTACTACTACTACTACTACTACTACTACTACTACTACTACTACTACTACTACTACTACTTGAATGATACATAAAATGAATAAAATAAGATATGGATACACTAAAGACAATAAAATAAGTAATAACACATTATAATATTAGGTTACAAATTTATGACATTCGTGACCTAATCAGACAATCTGAAATTTCAGTTTTCAATAAGAAATTCAATTTCCATAAAAAGGTATACAGGCAGAGGTGATTTTACGGTGGGGTGTGGGGGAAGGGGGTAATTTTCAAATTATAGTCGGTTTTTTATGAATTTAGTCAGCTTGTCTGGTATTTGACACAATTCAGTCGGGTAAATTTTAGTTTTGAAGACCTTTTTTTTTTTTTACGAAGCCAGTCGGTACTTTTTATCGCTTCACCCCTCCCCCCTCATTTTATTTGTAGAATCGCCTCTGTACACAAGAACATAAAAATTATACAAAATATAAACTATAATTAAATATGTAAATGAAAAATAAAAATAAAAATAATTATTGTTATATAATATTTTATAATTAGGTAATCAAGACGATTAAAGCTAAAAAGATATTTAAAGAATGTTTTAGTGAATCTCAAATGTTTACTACGAATGATATGTCAATCGATGAACAGCTTTAGGCTTTTAGAAAAGTCACATAAGATTCTTCTTATAAAACTTAAATTAGAAAATTAGTTTATGGAGCACCGTTTGGTCTTCCACAGATTTTTTCTGCATTGATGCCATCTATTGGATCTTTTTGGCCAAAAATACATTATAAATAAATTTGATAATAATATAAAATACTTCATTATTTAGCATAATTTATTTTACTTATACAGATTATATTATAAAATATGTTTGTAAAGTTTATATATAAATGTATTAGATCATAATATACTTGATTTTGGTTTTATTAGATATGTAAAGTTATATTCTAATAACATAAATAATAAAATTATATTCTCATAGCAAATACATTCAAAATGTTTAAACATTGTTTTATAAATGTTTAAACATTGTTTTATAAATGACTAATTTTATAGCAACATATTACAACCTTAAAGGAGATTAACCGATTGGATTAACAAATATTATACTGGAAATCCAATTAAAGAAATTTATTAAATTCGTGTTCCAATTAAGAATGAACTCATAAAATTCAATACCCAAATAACTAATTGAATCAGGGAACTCAATAGGGTCATGTAAAGCTTCTATATATAATTACATTTAATGTAGAGGCACCAGGACCCGAAAGAAATCGGTTTTTTTAAAAACAAGAATGTTACAGGGTTTATAAAAATCTTACAAAAAAAAAACAATAGGAGAAAGGTATCTAATAAAAAATTACACATTTGTAATAATCCCAGGGACGTTGGACGTTGAGTTTGAAAAAATAATGCTAGGATTGCCCTAATAACGTCACAATTTTGATATCATTTAGGAAGTAACTTTTTGTTTAATATTTTTATTTGATTGATTTTATTGAATTTTTTATTTGATGTCATTCTGACATTTTTTTATAACATAATGCATTTTTAAGAAAAATATTTTCCTGATAATTTTGAAATGGATTTAGGTAACTATGTGATATGCAGGTGCCTAAGGTAAGCTAGTTGTATATATTTTCTATATATAAACAAAATATCAATTGTTATTTTTTAAATGATAAAATATTTTTTTAATGATGAATCACTAATAAAAAAGGCTAATCAGTAAATTCAATCATAGTTTCTATATTTAAAAAAATATATATCTTGTAAAAAAAGTGTTATCTTATGATAAGAAGTTTCAGTGTTATCTTATGGATAAAGAGGTTTCATTTAAAAGCTGTTTTGGTTATTTAAAAATACGTGATAAAGTATATTGTTCCGCAGATATTTCTGCATGCGGGGAGATCTGTGGTAAAAATGTTTAATAAGGAAATTATTTAAAAAAAAAATAGAAATGCAACAACCAAAATTTTAAGTTTCAATTTGATGTTTTAATCAATATTGAACAATATTTAATTGGATAAAAAAGTATAGAAATGTTTTTTTTATTATTATTAGATTCATTTCGCTGTTTAATAATTTTTATTAAATAAAAAAATAAACGGTGGCTTAAAATTAAAAAAGATTTAATAAGCTTATAAGTGAATTAAAAAAAAAAACTGAAAAAAAGACGTTGACACGAATAATTCTAAAGTTAAATTTTTTTTTCTATTAAAAACTTAAAAAAAACTTAACAACTTTGCCATACATTTAAATCCTTTTTGATTCCATACCCAATATACAATGCTATGTACTTGCCCATGACATGTAAGTAAAGCCAATAAAGCAATGAAATAAACTAGCCCAAATTATAATCCTTTGAGAATTTGTTTTCAATTTTTTGACCGGATATATTTTATTCGTGGAAATCAGGATACATTTTTATTAAAATGATTTCGTATAGGAATTCTTGTTGATAAAATCAGACAATTAAAAAGGATGGTTTTCTTTATGTGTTTTTTTTTTTTTTTTAATGAAACTTTTTAAATGTTTTTTAACGTTTTTTTTTAATGAATACATCTTACCAAAAGTTTTGTTGATTTTAGACCGGATATATTTTAAAGTTAACCTTTGAAATTAAACGATAAATTAGTCAAAAATAAAGCCAGTTTATGATTCTTACAAGAATCTTAAACCAGGTTGATTATTAACTAATTTATCATTAAAGATAAAATCAGGTAGGGTAGATTAGGGTAATATGAGCACCTTGGTAATATGAGCTTACTTAAAGATTTTTTAAATGTGCGTAGTGAATTTAAAGTTGCTTTGTATTTTTTGAATTAACTTGATGTGGTGTAACAGGAATCAGTACAACTAGCATAAATTTATATGCAGTAATTAGCGGCTATCATTTAATTAAAACGATGTTAAATTTTTTGCATTGTTAAAATAATATCATCATGCATGAATAAATTTGTGGCGCGAAATTTTGGTGCTAAAATAATAAAATTAATTTTATTATTTTAGCACCAAAAAACATTGCATAGTTTTGACTTTTTTCTAAGATGCAATTTTTGTGTAATATGAGCATAGGGTTGTCCAGGATATACTATGAAGTGTCAAATTGTCGTGAAGTGAAGTTTTTCCCATTATACTATCAATAATATGTCTAAAAATAATTTTTACAGATTTTTGATAAGTGATCCTGAGGTCCCTCAAGGCCTCTGAACATGTTCCCTATTTTTTGCATAAATCGATTTTATTTTTTTTTATTTTTTTCTTTAATTTTTAGAATCGCAATAATCAAAGAATCATTTCTAAAAAGTTTTGATTGGTTTTCAGTGGCTTTTAGTTGTATTCTTCGATTTTTGATTCTGTTTAGAATAAATTTAATTTTATCAATGAATATATTGGAAAAATGTTGACTCGAAGTAGTGAAAAGCGCGATCCATCACCATGGCGAAGTACTGAAGATAAAAAGTCTGAAGAACAAAAGAAGAACCCACTTCGTCAAGGTATTTCTAGCTCAGGTAAAGGAACCCCAAGCAGACCTGTGACAAGAAATTTAACTGATTTCTAATTAATTGGTCATCTTTCAACATCAAATAATGGGGCCAAACTGCCTGATTGTTGGCAAGTTATGAAATATGTCTTATTTTTAAGGAACGTTTTAGAAAATATTAAAAATTAAGTGAGGAATTAGGATATTTTTTATGTTGTGGTTGATGCAATCCTTGATTTTTGGAAAATGGCACGCATAAAAACTAAATACAGACAGAATTGCATGTTTGGTGTTATGAAACTTTGGAATGAATGGCAGAGTTTTATGAAAAATAAAGGAAAAACAACTGACCCTGGTTGCAAGAGAGCAGGTTTTATTGAACAATTGGATTCTCTTTTTAACATTGGTGCACCTGACGCCATAGATAAAATAAATAAATCAAGATTTTTGTCAGAAAGAAAAAACAAGATGATATCGACTTTTATTTGGACCAACAACAGGAAAGAAGTTGAGTCATGCGGTTTAGAAGATATTTTAATTCAAGCCTTAAAGACCATAACTAATAAAAAGTTTAAAATTTGTATTTATTTAATTTTGTTTTTTCTAAAATCTAAATTAAGTTCAAAGTTCTTCAACAGCGGTTCTCAGTGACAAGACCTGTATGGTCTAATTTGAGTATCCGCGTTCTTTATCTTTATTCTTTATTTTTTAACGATTTCTTTGCATGTAGTTTTTTTTATTGGTATATTTGTAAATATTGTATTAAATATTGTAATAAAGAACAAAAAAAAAAAAGAAGAGCATATATGGATGGACATGATAAAATTTTTGAAACCAAAGACCAAAGCCGAAATGAAACTTGCAAGACAAGCACGTGAAGCAAGAATTACAGAAAGAGAACAGTGCAGGTTGGATATTTTATAAGAAGAGCAGGTCGAAGGAGTTGCTGCTTTACTAGAATATGATTCTGAAATACAATTAAATGAAGCAGATGACCGAACTGAAATTGATCCTGAATATAAAATAAATCTACAACAAAAAGCAACAAAAATAGATCGGCGAATATGTAATTTTTAAGCTACCTAGGAAAATAATGCAATGTGACCAGATAATCAGTGCTGCTAATCGTCTCAAGCTGTCAGACAGTTAAACAACAATGATTGTATCAGCATTAATAAAAGCTGCTGGAGGTGATCTTGAAAATTTTGAGATATCAAAATCTACAACTCGGAGAACAAGAATGTCTAATCGTCAAAAGATTGTGGAAAGTGTCATGGAGACAGTGAAACAGAACCCTCCTTAATATGATGCTTTGGATCGAGATGATAAGCTTTTAAAAGATATGCTGGGAGACACATATGGACGACTTTGGAAATTATTAGGTGTACCTTCTTTAGCAAACTCTTAACGAGCAACTCAAGCTAAAGCAACGCTTGATCGAATACAAGTTTGTGACCTGTCAGAGAGAGTTGTAGCTCTAGTGTTTGATATAACAGCTAGCAATAGTGGTATACACAAAGGAACTGCTAAGTTAATGGATGCAAGTCCAGATAAAAAGTTACTCTATCTAACTGTCGTCATCACTTTTTAGAACTTATTGTTTGAGCTGTATGGAAATTATTATTTGGTGACCATGCACCTTTAAATTTTGCAAACAAACTGTTTGCAAAATGTAAAGATGCATGGTCAAACTTATTATTTGGACCAACAACAGGAAAGAAGAGCATGTATGGATGGACATAATAAAATTTTTGAAACTAAAGTTTTCAATGAATATTTTGGGTAAAGTTCAAGCAATACAAGTACTGGAAACTAAAAACGAATGGTTGTTAAACATAAAATATAAAGCTGTCAAAGAACTTACAGACATGCTATCTTGAAACGATTCAACAACTTTTCCAAGAGATGATTATCGTGAATCTGCTGAAAACACTCTGATAATCTTGGGTGAAACTCCCCCACGTGGCGCCCACTTTCTCAAACCAGGGAGGATGCATCAAGCACGTTGGATGGCCAACAACATATATGCTGGAAAGATGTAAATATTTTCAAAACAGATGCGTATGATGATGACATAGTTGCTAAACTCATGTGTATAAATAGATTTTCGGCTCATTTCTACACTCCTGCATGGATAAAAACATCATGGGGAGTGGATGCACCGATGAACGACCTCCAGTTTATTCATGACATGATTGATTTTAGAAATGCTGACAAAGATATTGCTGACGTTGTAGTTAACAAACTCTGTAATCATCAATGGTACTTGTAAGAAGTTGTACCATTTGCTTTTCTTAGTAAACATCCTTTGATGACACAAGCAATAAAGAAAGAAATGGCGGATTAATTGTTTTTGACGTGAATACCAGAAAACTTCCGCCTTGGTAAACCAGTATTCAAAAAAATTGGTTGTGAAACAACTTTGACAAGTTTGATTGGGCCTGAATCTCATTCGCTGTTCCGCATTTTATAAGTGAGCACTGGTCGGCTTTCCAAACCAGTTCAGCAGTGGAATTCA